TGTGTGATAAAATGTGCTAATGGTTTCATTAACAAAACGAATAACTATACAGCATAAACATATAAAAAATATGTTCAAGATAACCACAAAAGTCTTCACATGAAGACACTTGAATATATATATATATATATATATATATATATATATATATATATATATATAAATGAAATGTTCATACAAGGTGTGTATGTGTTTTTTGTAGGAGACTTGATATCTGGAAAAAAAAAAAGGTAATCTTTAGTACTTATCTTATGTTGATTGTCACGAGCCTGAATAAGTACGTCTTTCTAGTCTGACTGCCAGGAACAAAAGAGGATGTTTGACGTCCGTGCCTAACGGTCCCTCAGGCAGTTCATGTGACTATCTATATATCTATTTCTAGCTTTTTAAAGGGTTAGTCAAACAGATAACTTTTTGTCTCTCTCAACAAAAATATCCAAACAGTTTTCTGGCGCCAGTTTGCATAGGGTGTATGATGATAAACTACATTTGGCAGCAAGGTGTCTGATTGAGAGATTGGTGGTGTTGAGGAGCTTAATTGCTGTTGTTTCCTGGTCCACCCTGACCTGAGGTGGTAGCACCTGTTAGGGTCCCAGCCATGGCCAAATAGTGAAACAACAAAAAATCAAAACATGAGGAAAGTATAAAAATACATTTTATAGTAAAAAAAAATAACAGCAGTATGTTTTTATAGAAAACAAAAAACACCAACAATACATTTTTACAGTAAAATTACCAACACATTTTTATGACAAAAGTAGGAGTAGATAGGTTTGCCTATTATCTGCTTTACACTCCACTCTAGTCTTTTGAACAAGTGTCGAGGTTTATCCCTTGTTTCCTGTTTAAGATTGGGTTTCCAGTTCTTTCTAAAGTCTACTTCAGCTATATGACGTATTTGGCGGAAGAGGAGCGTATTCAACATTTGATAATTTTGTGACAATATGCACTTAAAGGTTTTAGGCAGTTTTGATCAACATTTTTTTTTTTTTTTCATGGTTAGCCGTAAGCAGTTGTAAATGTAAGACTACCTTATATTATAATAACAATAATAATATTTATTAAGAATTTATTACAGGAAATATCAAGTTTTAGTGTTGACAATTATCTATTTAGTTACATAATAAATAAATAAAAATAATATAAATTTTGATGCTATATTCAATTTGTTTTTAGGTATTTTTCATTTTCTCTTTTGTTATTGGCAGCATTTTAGAATACTTTGGCTGCAATGCTAAGTTTCCTAAGTTGAACAAACTGGAGCTATTTCGTTTATGCTTTGTTACCTCTATTTTCCATTGTTATTGTTAGATCGCTTTCTTTCAGTCATTTTGGTGGCAATAGTGAAATTCTGAAATTTAGAATGATTTTATTCCATTTCAAAAATAAAACCTGTAAAAAGGAATATTTTAAATTAGGTACCTCCACTGAATTTTCGATACCTAAGATTCAAAATGAATTTTTAAAAATGAAAAAGCATTCTTGAAGATTTTATTTTAGCTTTAATTGAAAGCTAAATGATTAAATTTATTATTTCTAGTAAGTAAAACATTATGGTGTACTTCAGATAGAAATTATATAGATTGGAATGTCAAATATATGCTCTGTTTTTTTTTTTTTTGTTGTTTTTTTTTTAATAAACGCAGCCATTTTCTTAATTTTAAGAAATTTGTAAACAAAAAATTATCATTTTTAAAAATCTTCTGAAAATAAAATATATATTTCTGACATGTTATTTTTGTAAAATTAGTTAATCTGATTTGAAATAAGTATTACTTATAGCATAAAAAAAGTAATATATAAGCATTCCTTAACTATGGGTCCTGATTTTCTTTGATCTTTATTGACATATCAATAAGTTCTGAGTTGATGACAGCTCTTATGGATGAACAGAATTGGCATAAATTTATGAAATCTAAGTGAATCCATTTTTTTTTTTTTTTTTTCTAGTTTTTAACTACCTAGTAATTTTTACGAATTAACATATTTTCAGTAATTATTTAATATTTTAATGATTTTTAGTTAGGTTTCAAGGTGCTTTATGAAATTTGCATTTAGTCTCCAGGTTCTTAAGTTTACTAACTTAAACAAAAAAATTAATTAATTGAAGTATGACCCAAACTAAAATAAATGCATAAAATAAAAATATTTAGTAAAATAGTAATTAAAAAAAAGTAAAACTTACTTTGAAATTTTGAAAGGATGATTCGCAAAGACGTTAATGATGAAACAGAACTGAATAAAGGAAGTGAAAAAATTGCATTGCATCAGACGACACTTAAATTACGTAATCTTTTTAAGGATTATGTCATGTAGAGGTTCCCATAGGTAGAAATTGAGACTGATTTTTTTTTTTTTTTTTCATTTTTTTTTTTCATTTTTTTAATATTGGGCTACAAACGACTGTTATGAGCTTTACAATTTTTGATTCATAAATGTATTTTTCGTTTAACAATATCAACAAACTGCTGGCTTGAAGCAATGCAGAATTTTAAACAATTTTTTAATATTATAAATTGTTTAATTAAAATTTTAAGAAAATGAAAACAAATCTTGTAAAAATTAATTATTCATTGAAAAAATTTTTCTTAAGACAATTGTGTCCTTAATAAATCTAATTAAAGCAATTAAGTTTTTCTAATTAAATAATGTCATAGTTTTATTGCATTTATTATTTTACAATTTGGAGCAGATTTTTGATAAATGGGTTAACTGTTTTACAAAAACAAATTGATGATTTATTATCTCCAAGGAGCCCTGCTTTTAACTAAAAAAAAATCCCTTCCATAAAAATTTAATTTCTTGAAATTTTATGTAATTAAGTGGATGCTAACATATGTAAAAAAAAAAAAAAAAAATAAAAATAAAAAAAAATAAAGATTTTTCTAAATAAAAAAAAAAAAAAATTCAAAAATAATTTCATTCATTTCTGAATGTCCTGAAAATTTCATTAAAATCCAACAATTATTTGATTTTTGCAAGAATTTGCAAGTTAATGTGTTTTTCACCGGAAAAAAAAAAAAAAAAAAAAACTAACCATTATCTATGATGTAAACAAAACATTTTAAAAAAAAATTTTGAACATGCTAGAAAGGATTAAAAAATTTCAAAAAATAATAAAAAAACTACTTTGGTCTTTCCCCTTATTAATAACAAACATTTTGATGACAAAATTTTGTTTTTATTTAGTTTGGGCCTTTTTTCATCATGCTATGCTGTTTTTCCCGCGAAAAAGTGGAGGTACCTATTTTAAATTAATATACAACCAAAAATAAAATGTCTTTGACAAAAATCCTTAATGATTTCACTGTAATTATGTCACAATAATGTAATGATATTCTGCAAACAAATCTACAGTTTATGTTACCTCATCTCATTGCATGGTTATGAACTATAAACCTAAACTGAGCTTGAAATATATGTGTAATCAGCTCTAATTTTTTGTAAAATACTTGGATATGATATAATAAATAATTTGCAGTGAAAAAAGAAATTTTTTTTTTTTTTTTTTTTTTTTTTTTTTTTTTTGTTGAATAGGCCTTCTCCTCCGTCGAATGGATCATTTAATCTATGGGGGAAAATTGTTCTTGTTCCAATGATCATGTCTAGAGACGTCTCGTCTCGTTCTTTTTTTAGTACAGCTCAGTTACTGCACGCCCGATTTCCACTGACGCCAAGTACACACTGCCCAGCCCAGGGTTTAAATTCACAATCCCTAGATAGGGCCAGCAGAATGCAAACAATATACCTGTGTGGATGAAATAAAGGTTTCAATTTAAAATTCGCTGACGGCTACCTGGATCAACAATCACCTGATGAGGATCAGAAAGCATAAGATGCGGATAATAGTCCATATGTAAATAAGACTATGGGTTTCTTCAACAATACAATGCTGCAATTTTAGAACTTTAAACTTAATGCATAGTTTTTAGTGTATTTTTTTTTTTTTTAATCAGAGATTATGAGATGGAGTTTATCTTTACACTAGGTCTACTGAGGCTTTTTTTCAGATTCTAACTGATTCTCTCAAGTGTTGTTCTTGTTGATTATCTTTGTTACTTCTCTTTTCCTTTGTTGTTTTTAGATCGCTTTCTTCCAGTCATTTTGATGGGCAGTAGCAAAATTCTGAAACTTATGATTTTATTCCATTTCAAAAATAAATCCTGTAAAAAGGAATATTTTAAATTAATATACGACCAAAAATAAAATGCCTTTGACAAAAAACCTTAATGATTTCACTGTAATTATGTAACAATAATGTAATGGTATTCCACAAGCAAATCTATGGTTTATGTTATCTCATTGCATGGTTATGAACTATAAACCTAAATTGAACTTGAAATATTGTGTAATCGGCTCTAATTTTCTGTAAAATACTTGGATATGATATAATGAATAATTTGCAGTGAAAAAAGAAATTTTTTTTTTTTTTTTTTTTTTTTTCCTTGAATATTTTCTCCGCCAAATATATCATATACTCTTTATGCTAATACAACTCCACACAATAACGCTCTACCTTGAGTGCTTCTTGGGCCTTGTATTTGGTGAACATTAGTGGAAAAAAAAAAACATCAGTGTATTTTATAGTAAAATTGAAGACCTGGCATACAGTGTCAAAAGATAAATAAAACATACAATTTGCTATGATTAATCTTATTTCTTGTAAAGAGAAACAAGTTTTCACTCCTTGTTTGATTTTGTAAATTATTTGGTTAAAAAAAAATTCAGCTTCATAATTATAATTTAATTATGAAATAATCTCATTCTCTTGAATTAATTATAAAGTTTCAATTTTCATATTTAGATTTTGGCATTAAATAACCCATACAGGTGTTGATATGCTGCTAAACAAAAACAACCAAAAACCAGTTTGCATAAAAGGTTTTCTTGGTCAGTTTTAAAAGTCCCTTTAATATTGTTACATTTTGGTGTGTGTGTGTAACATTTTACTTTCAAGTTCCTTGTTAAGTAGTTTTTTTGTCATTGTTAATTATGGCTTATAGCCATATCATGTTGAAACATTGGTTCCCATATGATCAACAAAGTTAAGCAATGTCAAACCTGGTCAGTACAAAGATGGGTGACCACATGGGAATACCAGGTACCGTAAGCTTGGATGTGTGGTTGGTGTAATGGATAATGGCTTGGAATTGTTAATCAGAGAGCTGAGTTCCAATTTTTGTTGGGTTCATCATATTCACTTATGCACAATTACCTTTGGGAAAAGTATGAATCCATCTCTCATTCCTCCAGCTATAGGTTAATTAGATTTTTATCACTAAACCATTATTATCTCCCTACCCCCCCCAAAAAAAGTGATTCTTAGAATCTAAAAATATTTTCTGGCTTTAAATAACCTGCAAATTGTTAAGTCATAGAAAATTGAATGAATCAAACCATTGATAATTTTTTTGTTGCTTTTCACCGAATCAACTCATTATGGCTGTTGGTAAATAGTTTGGGTAGGAAAGAATTGATTTGAAACAAGACTGATATTTAAAATATAATTGTGTGTGTGTGTGTGAAAAATTCTTTATATATTATTAACTAGTTTAACATGTGACAGATTGTGTTTACATTTTCAGTGGAATAAATTATAAGCGTTCATTAAATACCCATAGCCATATGCTGCATATCCGCTTATAATAATTTTTTAAATACATTTATATGACATCATACAGAACAGGATTTGTGGAAATTCCACAGTTTTTCGTAATTTTTATTACTGAAAATAATCCTTTCTGACTGACATGTTTTATATTACTATGCCATTTCACTGAAGCAGATGTCAATTACACAAGGCTGTTATCACTTCCTCTATCTTCTTTCGACAAACACGTACTTATGTGTTCTCAATAAAACTGCATATCAAAAAGATGTTTATTCCTGTGACACTGCTCTTTTACCTACCTTCACTTTTTGGTCATGTTTGCTTGAGGAAGAAAATTTAGAAAGAATGTAGGTCAGAATGTAGGTTTCAGTAGATCCGATAAGTGTAATGATAAGAATTTAGAAGGAGGAAGCTTGCCGGACAATGCTTACACCACCCACAAGAAACTGCATCAAAACTCATTTTATTACAACCCTCTACTGGGCAAAAGAAGAGACACCCGGCAAGCTGTGAGAGTGCCCAGATACATTCATGCAAAGTACCGGCATTAAAAATCCAGTTGGAATCAAAATTGGATATCTGGACAATTGAAGACAATGGGCCGAATTGCTGTGAGCTGAGACTTGGCCACACTAAAGAAATATGAAGAAAACATTTGGATAAACTTGAATCATTGTGTTCATAAAAAAAAAAATATCAAAAAGAACAGTTTTTCCCATGACCCCACTGTTATTTTAACTACCTTCACTACTCAGCAATGTTTGTTTTAACCTTTACCATGCTGCAGGTGGAAATTGTTGCTGTAGAATTCTCTCCCTTTGCTGCTCTAGGCACATTCGGTTGCCTTGAGACAGTTGATATAAATAAACACTGTTATTTCCAGTATTTTAAGCTGGAAATCACCTACTACTGCTTTGGAACGAGGTTAAACTTCTGTTTTCTAATGCCATTTTGAATTATTCTAGACTCTACACAAGGTGTAACATGAATTAAACCCATGTTAATTTTGCAATTTTTTGTAAACAAAAATGGCCATGTCAATAAAGCCTCTATTCAGGAGTTTTTCTTTAAGATTCCGATAATGATTTTGAAAGCTTTACTCGAGTGGATATTGACGGTGAAGTGGTTGAAGACTATAACCATGCTAGTGATGTGGAGGAAAACGATGATGACCACTAGCTGCTACTATCTGACTAATTTTATGGAAGCTACTGGTGACCATCAATATACATGATAGCCTTTCTGAAGGTGAATTATTTTATCTATTTATAAATGATGAAATAATTTTATTCATCAACGAGACATAAATATGCTAGTCAAGTGGAAGAAAGAACAAACAAATGCTAGTGTTTTTTTCATCAATTTTTAATGAAATGAAGGCCGCCTTAACAATTTTTGCTTCTTATTGCACCTCCAGATCTCCACAAGTAGTTAAAGTACATTGAATTATTTATGTAATTTTTAATGTATTTGTTTTTTATTTTGTGTTTCAATTTTTTCGTTTTCAATGTCGAGACATGCATACAAAACATAATGCATTACAGCAAAATATTTCTCATTCTTTTATTAGAGTACAAAAATTAAGATCTATATGCACAATACAAAGAAAGTTATAACAATTTTAAAACAGGTGTTCATGTTTTTGCGCCCTCAAAAAAATTGCAGTGGCAGGGGGAACAATTCTAGAAAGAAATTAGCATGGTAATGATTAAAAAGCGATGATTAGACGTGTAATAAAACCTAAACATATGAAAGTGAATTTATACTTTTTTATTTTTATATATATATATATATATATATATATTTTTTTTTTTCTTGAGAATTTAGAACATTAAACACTAATTACTTATTTGTTTATTTACAAAAATACAAAAGCAGTGTGACTTAATAACATTCCTCAAGAGGTTTGGAAAACACAACAGTTCAACGGTATTCTATTCCAACTCTGTAATGCTACATGCAACCTTCAGTCCGTCTTTCTATATTATTTCATCAAAGAAGACGGAATTTGACATTTTAGAACACAGAGAACTTGCCATTCTAAAATAACTTATTGAGGTTTATATTTTGCTAAAAAAGAAAAAAAATTAAACAACCAACATGAAAGAATTCTTTCATGACATTAATCCATATAATATTTTACAATTTCTTAAGGAAATCAAACTCTATTTGAAATTACTTCAAAGCTCCCATAAAATTAAATTTTGGTATTAAATGACCCATAAAGAGTTGATATACCGTTAAACAAATTAAATGAGAGTATTGATTATGTATATATAATAGCAACAAGGGGTCATTGTAAAGACAAAGAATAACTTTGTATAAAGCTACTTCATTTTTATTTTTTTGTAAGGGAAACTGTTTAATTTTGATTATAAAATATTTATAAGAATTCAAATATCGAAATATAAAATTGACTGCTAAATGAAAAGAGCTTTATTTAGCTTTGATCTGGATATGGAAAATTTCAACGGTCGGTTTAAAAATGAGCAGAAATAAAACAAAAGTAAAATTTAATTATAATGTTACCACAATGATTGTAAGAATAGAGGATGGGGAACTGGAAGTGGTCCAGGAATATATTTACATCAAGCAGCAAATTGTCCTAAGGGCCTAATGAATTAAAGTGTTGGTTAGCCATAGGGATTGTGAGTTCAATCTCTGGGTCGGGCAATGTGTACTAGCACTCAATGGAAATGGGTAAGCAATAACTGAGCTGTACTAAATAAAAATATGAACGGGACGAGATATCCCTAGACATGAGCCCTCGAACAAGAACAGTCTACTGCTGTAGATTAACAACAACAAAGATGAAAACAATAGTCCAAATATAAATAGTGTACATATATACTTTAACTCAAAACTTCCATCAAATTATGCTAAGTAGTTCTAGATATTGCTAATGACAAAATGTTTACAAATGCCGGCTTTATTTGGTATATGTTGTTAATTTTGTTAATGCTCGGTGTTAAGGATAAACATAGTGTTTCACAAGCCACATGTGACTCTTTGACATTTCATGTGCAGCTTGTGGAACTATGTCAACTGACCTCTTTTTCTCATCACAGTTAATATAAAAAAAAATAAATTCAAGTTTTATAATAATTATTATTGTTATTAGTGCTTATTGTCTTCACTGTCTACACAGTTTGTTCACCCAGTACACAATGCAGAGGATTTTGAAAGATTTTGAAAACATTTGCTATGTATGAATACTTTGTGATTACTGAAATGAATAAAAATTAACACTTAAAAAGCTACATAATTGCTGACATGAATTTAATATATAAAATATTTATAATAAAATATGTGTATAGACTGTGTCACAAACACCTAAATTTTATATGTACCTGATTTTATTTTTATTAAACAAGTTTGGCCAGCCGTAATGTCTATTCTTTGAATCACAATGTGATGAGATATTTATTGGTCATGCATCCTGGTCTTCCTATTTGTTAATAAGATATTCTGTTGTTATAACAGGCATTACACTTTGCCAATAAATGAACATGCCTCATGTTACTATAACATCAGAATATCTCCTTGACAAATAAGGAGACCGGGCTGCATGACCAATAAAAGTTTTTCTTAGATGTGATATCTATAATTGTGTAGATAAAAATTTTAGATGACATACAGAAAATATAACCCAAGTAATTACAAAATTACTTAAGATATTGCCATCTTTTTTTTTGTTTTGTTTTTAATTTTGCACTAGAAGTAAACAAGCAATTAAATTATTACATTTAATAATTTAAAAAGCAGAATCTATATATAAAATTGTTTTCCATTAGTCCATCTACCCATCTCTCACACCCTCTAAAATACCCATACATTATAGCCAATCAAAACCAAATTTTGTAGAGAAGTCCAGGTAAAGGAGTACAAATTACAATTGGTTTTACTAGAGTGTGTAGTACAATAAATTTTCATTAATTCTTTGGAAAAATTAAAAGAATTATTTAACATACAAAATACTCACACTGTTTTAAAAACAATTTAATGATTAAAATAACATAGTTATTTAATAAAGATGCAATATTGTTTTTTTGCATATCTTTCAAGTTTTTATATACAAGAATCCAATTTCCAATTCGTCCTGCGTTTGCAAGGACTATAAACAAATCACAAGGCCAAATGCTTCAAAAAGTTGGAATTTGGCTCCAGAAAGAAATATGTATGACCAGTTGTATGTTGCATGCCCAAGAGTAAGAAATCTTCAGAATTTATTTTTCGCTGTTAAAAAGGATAAAGAAAACAAAATTTTTCTTAAAAAATATTGTTTACCTTGAAGTCCTATAAAATTATATTAAACTAAAGAAATTATTAAACCATGAAGTCGGGTTTTTGTCAAAGTATGTTTCCAAACAAATTAGGCTATTCAAATTTCATCAAACGAGACAGTTTTATAAATCTTGTTAGTGTTAGCGATAACAGTCATTTTTGTCAGTACAGATCATAGCTTTTTTGGGGTATTTTCACTTTTAATGACTTAAAAAC